CGCACACCTCGCACACCAGGACCCAAAGGACACATCCCTCAGCGGCCACAGCTTCGCAAGACGGGGGCTGTGGCAGTTGCGGGAAGCTGGACAGGGAGAACATGGGTTTGAGAGGCCTCCTATTCTGATGGCCTTAGAATTTGTGGCATTCTCTGAGACTGGGCGGATTCAAGGAACCTCCGGCAGGAAAGTATACAAACTCCTTTGCTTGAGGGATACTCATTTGGAGATACCAATGCTGCTCAGGACCAGAAACACATCTACAGAAGGAAAGATATCACATGGTGTCAGCCCAAATAATCCAAATCAACCCTTCGGACACTCAAACAGCCACCCGGCCCCTCTTAACCCATCTAACCCATGCCCAAGAGTTTATGCAAATGTCCCCCTACAAGTCCAGTCTGACCCCGCAAAACCTGGTCTTTTACTTCTATGAGTAGTGTTCTTGTATAATCAACTCCAGTACAATGAGGTCTTTGACCTGTCGGGATGTAAATATCAGAGCAAACAACAATAGCCTTGATTCAACCATATTCAACCTAAGTCTATGACCAACTGGTGACCAACCTCTGGCAAGCCCCATAGACAGAACGAGCTATCCCTGAAGAACTTGCCAGGCAGGTGCGACTCGTAAGGAATGAGGTATCTATCCCAGACACGACCCATGGGACTGCCATAGGACTGCCGATCAGTCCAGGGGTGGTGCCAGAGGGGTCAATGTAGGTGTATATATATATATTATATATATCCCAGACACTCCATGTATGCCATATATGCCTACATTGGGGTGGTTTTGGGGGTCAATGTAGGCATATATGGCATACATGGAGTGTCTGGGTATAGCAGTCCCAGACAGGTCGTGTCTGGGTATAGTGATCTCATATGCATGTGATCTCATTCCCTGATTCTCCACTTTCCTCGCACCAGTCAGTCATCTTGCCGCAAGCGCAGGTTCCAACTCCGTCGCTCATCAGGGTGAGCTGAAAAACTTGGACCCTCCGTTCGGAGCGAACAAGTCGGAGGGACTCACGCATGGTCGTGTGGTTTGTTTCGCATGGTCGTCTTCGTTCGGAGGGTCCAGGAGTTTTTCCGGCCCGAGTTGAGGTTCCAACGTTTGGAGGTATCCGCAGGTCGGGGGTTGAGTCTGATTCGGCCAAGGACTCCGAACCCCCCCAATCCCACACGGTGGCTTCAACCGCCAGGCCACAGCCAAGACAGGGGTGCGCACCATCTCATGCTGAGCCCGGAACACGTGTAGAATCCATGCGGAAAGAGCTGCTTGGCGGCTCCTAGTGTCTATTCTATAGGTCTTCACATGCGTTAACCGTCATGTTTGAACCAGTCTTTTCGAGCACTTAATAACTGAGATCAGGAGATTTGGAGATTCTACAAAGTAGGAAAAACACTGATGATATGATGATGCGTGACGATGTTTTAGGATCTGGTTGATTATTTTGTCCCTCAAGTGATCAAAAGCACTTTTATAAGATGTCTGACTGATGCACAAGCTTTGGAAGCTAAGCCACAGAAGTCCAGCCAAGCGATTGAGCAACTGGCAACGTCATGAAGCCACGCTGTATAGCTATACCCCAAGACCCCCATGGGCTGCCATATTTACCGATCAGTTGGGGTGGTACTTGGGGAGTAGGAACATCATCCAGATTCCACTCCCCTTAAGGGGAGTGCCAGATGCCTATGCCAAATAGATGCAAATATATATTGTGCATGACACAGCCAAATTCCCGCCTCCCCCACCATGTGCAAGTGGTCGAAGGTCGTCAATCTGGGCAGAGAAAATCGTTCACTTTCACTTCACAAGGTTGACTGCTGATGGACAAAAGGAAAACCAATCTATGAAGCGTTCCAAGGAGCGTTCAAAACAGGTACCAAACGAGCTTCTTCTATGAAACCAGTCAATGAGGACCGCGCACCCCGGTCCGAACCATCGACATAACTCCCAAGCGACGCCACGCCAGAATGTGCACCACATCGGCAAAGTCGCGTTGTCATTAAAAACACATAGCAATCCCACTTGTAGAGTCACTTAAAGCCATGAACCTCATGACCTCTGCGGTAGCCCACCATCCCTCCTCCTATACCGCTCCGCTCCGCCTGCGCGAGCCGCTCGGCTCTCGGGTCGAGCGAAGTGCGGCCTCAGCAGGCAAGAGGCGCAGAGGCGAAAATGGTGTTTGGGGTGGACTTCAGTCATTTTCCTTGGAATTCATGAAATTCATCGAACTGTCCGACATGCTGTCAACTGGTTGTACTCACAGGATGGGACAAACCGGAAGCAGTTGGAGAGGGGTCATTAGATGGTCAAACATGGGATCCGGGAATAACACCATGCCTGCCAGGACCTTCTCAGTGACCGATTTTCAGGATTCATGGACCTTTTACAGTGACCGATCTGATTGTCGGACGGCGGGAAGATCCTGACCCGGGTGTCTTTGGTGGTTTTGGTCATTGATTCACCACCCGAAATGCACCACAGAAGATGAATTGGGCGTGTCTGAAGGCTTAAGGAACCTGGCAAAAATATGGATTCCCCAGCCCAGAAGGGGGGGTCACCAGTACCCAGACACTCCATGTATGCCATATATGCCTACATTGGGGTGGTTTTGGGGGTCAATCTAGGCATATATGGCATACATGGAGTGTCTGGGGTAGGGAACATCACAAGATCGCCTGGAAGGTCCTCCCAGTTCGACCTGGAAGAACCTTTCACCCGTGCAGTCCCGGCCACCGTGCAGTCCCCAGGAGCCCATGTCCTCCAGGCGATTCCGGCCACCGTGCAGACCTGATCGGGCGGACGGGAGAAGCCCAGGAGACTTCGTACCTGGCTCCCGAGCTGTGCTGCTGGAAAAAGAAAGGTCAACCATGGTCAACCTATTTCTATCTGTTCACCCTTCAGTGGAGAAATCAATCCAGAAGCGAGTGTCCGTTTCAAGCGAAGCGCTGATCTTGGAAAAGCGCCACAGCAGCACCCGCTCAGCGTCAGCTCGTTTGACGCGGCTGAAAAATGAACAAACACAAAAGAAAGAATCACAACCTGTTCAAACACCAGAAACAAACCTGAACAATAAAATCATACTAAATCTACGACAAAAACAGTCCCAAAGAATGGAAACAACCATCTGCGACTTTACAGCTTCCCTAGTCTTGTTTAATCCATCTTCTCCACTGTGGAAGTCTCAGCCCGATCCAAACCTCCATCCAAAATCCCATCCTCAGTCACGCCCTAGGGATCCAGTCGTACCTTCTCAGGTACGGTGAGGACGGAGACACTGAGACATGTAGGTGCCAGGAGGCCTGCAGCCAGGTACGACTGGACCCCTGGACGACCGCCGACTCGACCCGGTTCGGAGCCGGGGACCCGACCCCTGGAAGGGCGACCCAAGCTTGGAAGCTGGGGATTTGCTGTCCAGGTATCGGTGTTCAGTCGGATTCACGTCAAAAGACCAAAGCATCCGAACACGCAACACGAGGGTGATATGGACGTGTCATGGATGTGTAGTAGCCCAAACAGAGAGACCGAACCCCTTGGCGTGGCAACGGCGTCCCTTTTTGGTTTGGTTTGGGACCCACCCCCATGCTAGGCTAGGGCTCCCACTACCTCCGTTTCTGTTCGATGGGGCAGGGGTGGGTGCCACGGGGGGGCTCAGTCCCCACCTTCTGAGAAAATGGGTTGGAGCCCTAGGGATTTAGCTAGTAACTGCTACACTGCGATCCCTTCCACCCGACGATCCGCACCAGGAACCACCTGCGCCCTTGAGTCGAAGACTCCCCTTGTTTGGGCGAAAACGGCCAAGCGAAGACGTCTGGAAGGCCGTGTCTGTTTTTTCCCGAGGACGGCGTTTCCACCCAGCAGCTGAAAAAACCTCTCCTTTTCAATGCTGCTGGTTGGAAAACAGGTCTTTTCGGTAGCTTGTTTCTCCTTTTTCTGGAGTGACCGACCAATGCAACGAACACCGTCCGTCTGTTGAACGGTGACTGCGGACGGTCTCCTCTTCAGGTCGGAGGATCCTCTGTCCGGCGGACCGGACCCGTACCGAGCCAGTCGCTTTTCGACTGGTTCCCCTCGCTTTTCGAGCTGGCGGTGGTCGGTGAGCCACAGTCACAGCCATGTTCCCACGAAACTGCGTGAGAGAAACCCGATCACTTCCGGTATCCAGAGTGATCCACCGGTGGAAGTCACTGGACGCCAGAGTCAGCTGGCGTGTCTCTGCGGTAGACCACGAAGTCGTAGGAGTACTGCTCGTCCTGGCTTCTCCGGCGGCTCACCTGTCACAAGAAGTTGGAAGCAACCGGCTGTTTTCTGACATGTGGTTTGTGGTGCAGGAAGTGTTGCATAGTTTTGCGCGAACTCTTTTCTGTGTCAATATGTTCAAAAGTCGCGGCATGCTGATCTAACACATGTTTTCGACTTTAGATCCCAACCAACCATCCCCACAACTTCCAGGAGTCACAAAGGGGTGGTGTTTACTCCCTAAGTGAGTGGATGTTCTGGGCACCCCTCTTCTCCAAGTTCGGCACCCCTTTGTGACTGCTGGTTAATGACGTTCTCAGCAGCCCTGACCTGTTCCATGAGGACCTCCCCAATTCATTCGCATAGGACTGCCGCCCCGTTTCTTTCCACCCCGGGTCCCACGCAACCTCTGGCTGTTTCGAAACAGCCAGTCCCACGGAGTGTTTGGTTATAAAGAAACCGCCCATCACCCAGCCACCAAGAAGCTAACACCTGAACCCTGGAGCCCGTCCCAAAAGGCTCACAGGCTCACTTCTTTGGATTTCAGGGCTAATGCAATCGGCAGAGAACCCCCAAATGGATCGGATTTCGTAGATCCCCACGGTCAGAATGTATTGGAAACCGTGCGACTATCTATTTGGGGACCACTATAAAAGGAAAAGCACATTAAACAACGGACCTCAATGAGCTGGCCAAACCGGAGGAAAGAAACCACTGAAAAACAAAAAACATAAAACATGTCTTTTGTTTGTTTTTAGCGCGCCTCGGTGGGAAAATGCTCTTGCCAACCATCCGGAAAGTATACATCTCCTTCCACGTCCTTGGTTACTTTTTTCCCTCTTCTTTCTTGTCAAACGTGATGTGATCATGTGAAATAACAAATTGTCAGGATTCTGTCTCAAACGATCGTCCATGTCTCCAAACAAAGAATGATAGCCTAAGCGGCCCGGCCAGTACGGACATCCAACCGACACGTAACATCTTCCAGCCACACAAACCAATCAAACCACTCAAGCGGTCAATTACCATGGTCACAACTACTTTGGAAGGTTCAAGTACAAATGCACCAGCCGGCACAATACGGGCGAACTCGCTCGATACCGCTGCTTTTCCGTCTGAGGCACGGCATGAACGTGTGTGGCCCAAAACTCGTCGGCCAACTCGAAGGATTGGCGATAGACCTGCGCTGTTTCAGCGCCGAACGTCAGGAAACAAAAAAGAAAACACGTTCTACAAGCACACACGGACCCCTGCTGTTTCACAGTGGAAAAAGTGGCTTTTCAAAGAACGTCTACGTGTCCCTGCAGAAAAGTTAAAGTGAAACATGAATATTGGTTTTTATAACCCAAACACTCCATGGGACTGCAATGTAGGCATATATACCATACATGGAGTGTCTGGGTAAGGATAATTAACCTTTACAAGTGAACTGTTCACTGTACATAATGGAAGATTCACTTCCCCATGTGGTTTTAGTTCACTTTCATTCACTTTCCACAGTAGGAAGGTTTGCCGTTCCAAAATCGGAAATATCCCAGAGAACCCTAAAGTGCACATGTCACTCTTCAAAGTGGATGACATATTTTGCTGGGTCAAATCTCTCTTATCATCAAATTTGACAATACATGTTCAGTCACTTTCCTACAATCCATCAACCATCATCCAAGAAGAGAACACATAGAAGTAGGTTACTTTTTACTCATTGAGTCAACCCCTCATTCTGAACAAATAAAAAGAAACAAGCATGGAAAGACACATAAACCAGGACCTTCCCAGTGACCGGACGGGAGCACAAAGAGGCCTGCAAGTTCGCTCACTTACCAATCCTGAAGTTCGGTCACAAACAGTTCGGTCCAGCACAAACCCTAGAAGTCCAACCACCATTCATTTAATAGGCTTTACCAAACAACCATTGTTTGACTAAGGATTTTACACGATGAAACCAGGTCAATGATTTTCGAGGTGGTCGGACGGAAGTCCAAGGCAAACGCATTAAGCACATCTTGCTCCTGGTCCTGGAAAACCATGGTAAAACCATGGTAAAATGTCATGTTCCAGAATCCGACTGTAAAACCTCATGTAAAACTATCCCTGCCTCCGTTCCGCCCAGAATCCAAATATCTCCGCCCCGCTCATGAGCCACCTGCGACGAGTCAAACCGGGTGCATGGTTTCAAGAAGCTTCATGAATGATCCCTGTTCTTGGTGTAGAAACAGGATGAAGCAGGATGAAACCAGAAGCAGAAGTGATGTTGTATGATTTTGTTGTGTTTTGTTCTTTCTTGCATCAACCGTTCCACTCCTGGTCATGAGGCGTACTGGGAGAAGGCTTGCCATGAGCGCTTACAGCTGGGTTGAAGGGTGGCCCGGTCTTGCGGCCGGTGTGTCAGCGTCAATCATTTCAAGGAACTGAACTGAACATCCCTACACCTCCAGTCGTACCTCCTCAGGTTCGGTATGACTGGACCCAACAATGGCACCCGGGCCCCGGTCGTCCCACCGAACCTCAGAAGGTACGACTGGAGGCCTAGGGCATATTTTTTTTCGGAAGCCACCACCCAAAAGAACTCTGAAAAGCCAAAGCTCCAAGTGCGTCAGGTCGTTGGTCCAATTTTGCATCACCAACCCCCATCCACCTGTCCAATGATACGTATCTGCTTGGCTATCACAATGGGTTCCGTTCGCGTGGTGTCCAGGCGGGTCTCACGTCGTCCGGCCTTCATGGCCTCCGGCAGGGAATCACGAAGCACGGCATCTGGGCAGTGCAAGTCCTTCTGCTTGGAGAGCACGATGTGAAGATCTGGTGATGCGGCACCCACGTTCGAACAGTGGATGCGTTCAGCACGTTCTAACACTGCCCAGTGCTGGATGAAAGGAGTGATCCGAGCGGACTATTGGAGTGATAAGCAAACTACTGGCAGTGTAGCATCCATCTCCCAAGCGCCGAAATATGTCCAAATATCCCCCTGTGAATTCACCCTGACCCCAAAGGGTGGTCATTTTATAGATATAAAACGGTACCCCCAGGGTACTGGCACTATAAAATCTGGGCACCCAAGGTAGGCAAGAAGGGCGGCAGAATATAGAATCACACACCCCATGGTTAAAATCTAGCCCACTATAAAATCACCTGCAAAAATGGTACTCTATAGATTCACGCACCCCAATGGAAGCATCAGGTCGATCTAGTAGGTAACATCAAGTAGGTGGCCTCATTCTTTAGTGACACCCCAGGGCTACGGCAACCACGATACGGACATGCACGGGCAAATTCCGATGATCTCCGAATCTGCGACGCAGATTTTTTACCTTCGCGTTCTCAGACAGGGTCTACTATAAAATGACCCACCCCGAGGTGGGTCATTTTATAGAGAACCACGGGATTTTTCCTCGATAGAATACCCTCTATAGAATGCACCAAAAAGACCCCCAGGGTACCATGGTTTATAGAGGAAATTCGCTGGACTATGTCCAAATGCTCTAAGAGAAGATTTGGATCTCAGCGCGCCTCAGTCGCCCAGGCGCACGCCGCGCATCTCCGAGCCCTTCGGCTCCCCACCTGAGCCGGGCATCGCTTGGCCGAGCTCCTCGTAGCAGCGGCGGCCGCTGATGCAGGTGCCACCCTTCACGGCAGCAAGGAAGTGACTCCAGTCCTGTCCAACACACTTGGAGCTGGCGACAGCCCAACAAAAATCCTTCCAAATCCCTCTTGGGAACTCCTCAAAGGGTCCTGTAGACTTAGGGCCTTAGGGCATATGATGTGTTCTGAAAGAAGGTTTGCATGGGATACGATCAGTCGTATCTGGTTTTAAACAATAAAGACTCTTGATTATGATTTGTAAAGAGCATCCACTGAAAAGATTGTATACAATCTAAAGTTTGCGTGCTTTTTGTTTAATATTATATAATCAAGAACACTAAAGGATACTAAAGGCGTTTACTTCCCCAAGAGACTTCGCTGGGATGAAAAGGGGGGACACTGCAGTCACGTGCCTCCTCGGTGGTGCTGGGGCCCCGCTACCCTCGCTCCGTTCCTACCTTAATCCTCACAGCCTCACAGCTTTCTCTCCCCCTCTCTCTCCACTCATCTCCCCATGCCAAGCTCGTCTCTCCATTCGCCTTGCATCCGCGATCCTTCGTCGAAGGTCGGAGGCAGTTCCTTCATGTTCCGTCTGTTGCGCCCCCAGTTCCGGACGCCCGACCCTGCCTTCCCCCCTTTCCTCCCGCGGGTCCTCCGGAATGGACCAGGGAAGCTTCCCCCCTTTGCCCATGACGCCGTTGCGCGCCACCGCCGCGATGAGCCGCACCGTCGGACGCGACGACATGGCCAATGGCTGGCAGCGCGTCCGTGGTGTCGGAGCGGTGACGTGGTGGTGAAGGGGTGTGGTGGTAGTTGTGCGGTGCTGCTGGGTGCAGAGTGGCTTTTAAAGGAGTGAAGACAACTCATTGGTATTCTATATGGTTATATTACTATACGTACTGCGTGATTTGAACGGTTGTCCAAACTGATGATTACTGATGTGTATATATAGTTCATGGTTTCTCTTGTGTGCCAGCCTGGAGTGGAAGTTGCCAGCCTCTTGCTTGCCGTGGCCGTCTTAGTGCCCAAACCTTTCCATATCTTTCCATAATATGTAAACATGTCACATGTCCTTAAATGACCTTGGGACAGCTTGGGTAACAGGGTAACATCAAGTATATAAGCTCACCAATGACAGCTTGCTATTTATGCCAATTCTGTGAATCTATCATGCCGCGTCTTGCAAGCAGCCCAGAGACACATGGCATTCGATGCTCGAGGACTGAGCCTTTGTGGTTGTGTCACGTCCTGTCACGTAGCAATCTCCATCTGCAGCGAGTTCGGCTAAAGAAGATCGAGGCTTCAGAAGCGGCGCGTTTCGACGCAGTGATCCACCCAATTCATGAAGTCACCAAGCTAGACATCCAAATCCTGGGTCAACCCTTCATCCAATCCACCAGCAAGTCTCGTCGTTTTCAGACTGACTCACACGGTTGACTCACTTGGAGTTGGATCAGGCCGTCTCAAGAGATGGGATGACCTTTTTGCGAACGCCATGAAAGGAAGGGCTCGGCTTGCGGCATAGCAATTGGCAAAGAAGTCCGGCATATGTAGTGGAACAAGTCTCACACATGTGGAGCTCTTGGATTTGCTATCCAGGAACTGGGATAAAGAACAAGTAACATACTCCCCAGGAAAAAGGGGACTCGCCCAGTTCTATAAGGGAAAACAGATGAAAACAGTGACACCTCACCCTAAGCAAACCTGCAGAAAATGCTGCTCTCCCTGTTCCTTCCACCCACTTCGACCCAGGCTGCCCCACCCGATCCACCAGGCGGGTCGCCCGCCTCGAACTCCGGCGTTTTTCGTGGGCCATTCGCCTCCGCTCATCGAATCGTTCGTTTCAGAGCGCCGCCTTTGACTTGCCCCTTCTTGTGATCACAAGTAGAGAACGAGCGATAGGCTGCGAGCGAGCCGATAGGCATTCCGATAGGCTGCGAGACGCGTTTCGGTAGCTTCTTCTCTTGATTCCGGGATTCCGGTATAACGTTGGGTTGTTTGGATGTCGGACTTCTCCAGCCAGCAATCCTAACCCTAGGGCTCCAAATACCTTCTAAGGAGGTGTTTGGGGTGGGTTTATAAGGGTCCAAATATGTTCAAATACCTTCTCAGGAGGTACTTGGAGCCCTAGGGTAATCAAAACTGACAAACTCTCCTGGCCTTCTTTCCTCTTCACCAGGACCTGCCAGCCCATGCTGCTAGGTCTGTGTCAGAATCCTGCTGTCAATGCTGCAAGCGATAGTGCCACCTGAGGAACGATCAGCAGTTCATCATTGATCAGGATTGACTCATCCCTAGGGCTCCAACCATATCCTCAGAAGGTGGTTAGACCCCCCAAACCCACCCCAACCATCTTCTCAAGAGGTGGTTGGAGCCCTAGGGCATATAGCTACTGGACCCTTAGAATGATCATGTATACCAAGGGAGCCTGGATGCCCAAATCGTTCTGACGAGAAAGCAGCTCTAGCAGGTCTAGGTGACACCTGCACCTGCTTTGAACGGGTTTGAACGAAAGCAAACTGTTCACTTGAGTTCCAGCATCCAAGTATCAGATGCTGATCCTTCACAGTACACGTCTTCAGGTTCTCCACTTCGTCGGAAGCGAGAGACAGTGAAGAACAAGTTCACTGAGTCGTGCACAAGAGCATGGCGGCTGCAACGTGCACCTTGCAAGCTGCTTGCGCAGTTGGGAAAAAAACGCGGAAGGCTTAGAAGAAGGACAAAAACAACTGGCAGTAGATGCAGCTTCTACCAGGGTGTGGTCTTTGTCTTCCGGGAGTCCCGAAGTGCCTCGGAAAATGCGTACAAGTACCCTAACCCAAACATCCATTCCCTACATTGGTGCATTGGTGTGCCTTAAAAGAGGTCTTTCTAAGGGGGCATCTCTTCCAGTCCCGGCTGCCTGGTCCCAGTTTCTCAGGTCCGGGCAGCCATCAATTCTCCACCCATCAAAGGCCAAATGCAGGGCAACTGGACTCCAAGGAGCTGACTTCAACCAACCGAAGATCACAACCAAAACAGATCGTGAGCCGGGGAATCGTCCAAAACAGATCCCTATTCAGAATGGGACGAAAGGGCCGGGGAATGGATTTCGGGCATGTCCGAAATACGTCACGAAGGAACATGTTTGTTGCAATGGGTCTTTGTATTTTCGGAAGGGGACGATGCCTCCGCATCCAACGTGGAACTGGTGTTTTTTTTTCCGTGCCCCACTCAGGAAACACATAACATCTTGACCATTTAATACAAGATCCAGATGTTTGAGTGGGTGTATTTCGTGGTAACCAAGCTAGCCGGTATCAGTATCCCAACTCACATCATCAGATCTTTGTACACTCGCTGGAATGGAAGTGGAGTTCACCACCGGTGTTTGTTAGGAAAACATGAGTATTCCAATGAACCCGCTTTCCACTTCCAAGGGGACAGGCTATACAGCACGACCATAGGGGCCACACAGCGACACCACCACCCGCAAGGAGAACCCCACCAGGGGGGATGTCCTCACCACCTGTGGCCCCTCGCGTTCAAGGATCCCGTCTGCCCCCGCAAGGGAAGCTCCTCGGACGGGTGCCAAGGGGAAGAGGTTCAGAATGCATGAGCAACTCTGAGGTCATCTCTCTCTCTCTCTCTCTGTCTCTCTCTTCTAAGATAGTGACATGTAAGGTTCCTGCCTCGCAGTTGGACTCAAGTTTCTGGACTTTGCCCCGGATCGATTTGCATCCATCGTTTCAAGGCCAATAGGTGTATCGAAAAAACTGGCCCTCGAGAATCCGGCCTCGCTGCGAAAGGATGAATCCATGTGGAATATTCACCTACCAGGACCCTCCGACAGGTCATCAATAGAGACCTGTTAGGGCCTAACAACCCTCAACTAACAGCCTGGCCAGGAGGGTGCTGGTATTGAACGAACGTCCTAAACTCCTCACCCCAATTCATCGGCAGTCCCAGTCATGTCCAGTCCCATGGACAGCTATAGGGTTTCCTGGGTGGCGAACAGATGAGAAGATGGAACTCGCCTTGCTTTGTCAGCTTTGGGGCCGTTATGAGCTCGATGCAAAACACGACTACGAGTCCAGGGAATAGCACAAGAAATTCACTTTCAGAGAGGAATCCACCGTTTTGAGCGATCTTCTTCTCTATGGAAACCAATTCTGTGACCGAAAAAGCTTTTTCATGACCATCACCGTCACCACTTCGTCACCGCCGTCACCACTTCGATGGATCCCTCCGAGGCCCGAACGATACATCGATCCACTAGGCCACTCTGCAGCAGCCAAGCGGGCAACCCTTCCTGGCGCGGGGGGACGGTTCGTGCGCCGAGCGCCGTGCACGGACGGCGGTGGACGGTCGCGGGTGCGAGCGGGTGCGAGCCGCCGAGCCAGCCTGTTCGCTCCCCAGAAGGAGCACAAAACGTTGAGGCAAGCGGAGTTCTGCCTGAAGGACGTGAGTGAGCCGCCCCAAAAGCCGCGTTTTGCGCGCGAGCGATGGTTTGGGAGCTGTCACAGAGCAAGCGATGGTGACACGTTCAACACTTACCCCAGCAAACAACGATGGAACAAACGTGGTTTTGGCGAGGTGAGACATTTGCATACATGCAAGCGGGTGTTGAAAGTGTGCTTCTTTAAGTGGAAAAACTGGCAACGCTGTCAACAGCAACCCATTCGGCTGCTCTGGCCCCATACCAGGGGTTGCAACATGTTGATGACCAAACAAGGAGACTTGTCTCATGGAAGCAACCAACTCTGCTTGAACTCATTCTAGCTTGCCCAAATGATCTTTGCCCACAGTGATTCTTTGGGCCTGCAACATTTCTGAAGATGATGTCTGCTCCAACGCAATGACCTCCGGCTGTCGTCGCTGTGAAGACTCTCGAGTCGTTGGTCCTTCACCGCCCTGCCGCCCTTGCTGTTGAAGGTTGGGGGTGTCTGATGGTGTCTGGATCCAATTGATTGATTTGGTGTCTGTACTGAAACTTCCCTAGATCCGGGTTGA